TGGACTCCACCAAGGTTGTCCTTTGTCACAGATTCTGTTCATAACTTTAATGGACAGAATTTCTAGGAGCAGCCAAGGTGTTGAGGGGATCCTTTTTGGTGACCTTAGGATCACATCTCTGCTTTTTGTGGATTATGTGGTCCTACTGGCTTCATCACCAGATTCACAGCAAAGTGTGAAGCGGCCGGGATGAGGATCAGTGCCTCCAAATCCAAGACCATGGTCTTGAGGCAGAAAAGGGTAGGGTGCCTTCTTTGGGTCAGGGAGGAGGTCCTGCCCCAAGTGGAGGAGTTTAAGTATCTCAGGGTCTTGTTGAAGAGTGAGGGAAGAATGGAGCGGGACATCGACAGGCGGATTGGTGTTGCGTCTGCAGTGATGCAGGCATTGTACCGGTCTGTTGCAGTGAACGAGAACTGAACCAAAAGGCGAAGCTCTGGATTTACTTGTCGGTCTATGTTCCTACCCTCATCGATGGTCATGAGCTTTTGGTAGTGACCGAAAGAAAAAGATCGCGGAGACAAGCAGCTGAAATGAGTTTCCTCCGCAGGGTGTCTGGGCTCTCCTTTATGCTGCGTTCACACCTAACACAATTTCAGCTTCAAAATTGTGTCCAATGCTTCAAGTTGGATGGTTGTGCACTTTGAGGTCAGAAGCGAGTCAAAATTGCTCTTGAAGAGCTTGACACGCAGCACTTACTGACACTGCTTGATGCGCATCCACCATAGACATTGAAAGTAAACCTGATGCTCGACACTGAAATCACGTTTGATGTGAATGCAGCATTAGAGACAGTGTGAAAAGCTCAGTCATCCAGGAGGGACTCAGAGTAGAGCCGCTGCTCCTCCACGTCCAGAGGAGCCAGTTGAGGTGGTTCATCTGGTTAGGATGCCTCCTGGACTCCTCCCTGGTGAGGTGTTCTGGACACGTCCCACTGGGAGGAGGCCAAGAGGAAGACCCAGGACACGCTGGAGGGACTATGTTTCTCGGCTGGACAGGGAACACCTTGGGATTCCCCCAGATGAGCTGGTCCAAGTGGCTGGGGAGAGGGAAGTCTAAGTCTCTCTGCTTAGACTGCTGCCCTCAAGATCTGACCCTGGATAAGAGGAAGAAAATGGAAAGACGGACCTTAATAGCTCCATGATTTTATAGGCAAATTGCTCTATTATATATATTTATATCATTAAATTATAATAATAACAATAATACATTTTATTTCAAAGGCGCCTTTCTGACACTCAAGGACACCATACAAAGAGTAAAAAGTAACAGAAACAAATAAAATGCAACAATAAAAAATAGATTAAAAAAATTTAACATGGAGACTTTAAGAAAATAGACTTCTGGGTTTTATATATATTCAGTGGAGCAGTTTTTAATGTTGTTTCTGTTCTGAGTTGAAGTGGAGACTTTATTAATCCTTTTAGCAGCATTTTCTTTGTTAAAAACAACTAGTGACAAATCAAACTTATATTTCTGGTGGTTGTTTTGTATCTGCTTGTGTTTGGAGATGGACTTCTATCACTCTCTCTGACTTCTATCACTCTGTCTGACTTCTATCACTCTGTCTGACTTCTATCACTCTCTCTGACTTCTATCACTCTGTCTGACTTCTATCACTCTGTCTGACTTCTATCACTCTCTCTGACTTCTATCACTCTCTCTGACTTCTATCTCTCTCTCTGACTTCTATCACTCCTTCTGACTTCTATCACTCCTTCTGACTTCTATCACTCCTTCTGACTTCTATCACTCTCTCTGACTTCTATCACTCTCTCTGACTTCTATCACTCTGTCTGACTTCTATCACTCTGTCTGACTTCTATCACTCTCTCTGACTTCTATCACTCTCTCTGACTTCTATCACTCTCT